TTATATTTGCAAGTGTTTTTGGTGAGATAACAATAAATATGTAATTTTTTTCCTTAAAAAAGAATATTTTTTTTTTAAAGTTTCTAACCCCTTTTTGTGTTTTTAGGAAGGAAGAACCTTTTCTTTCATCCAGCAGGAAGATTCTTCAAAGCGGCGTCCTTATTTTAAATAGCTTGGGAACCTTCTTGTGTTTTGTTTGTCCAGAAGACTCATGTAAGTACCCCTTTGGTTTCATTTTTGTAGTTGCCCTAATTCAATCCCACTGTTTCATTCACTTATCCATGACCCAGCTCTCAAATTAACCCTAGCAAAGCCGTTCGCAAAAGTTTAGGTTTGTTTTGCTTGCCCTATCTCTAGCCCCGTAATTGTTGTCCCCAACTTTCAACCCCTTATAGTAATACCCTATGTGGTAGGCAAAACAATTGTTACTACTTACATCTTTTGGTAACTGATTGCTTCTTCAAGTGTTTAAGGGGATTTGTATAATTCACTGTAGAATTTAATCGCGATGTGTTTCTTCTTCTTCTTCAAGTGCCCTGTCCGTTGCGAACGTTGGCTATTAACATGGCAATTTTGATCTTGTTTGCGGCGCTTCTGAATAGTTCGACCGACGTGAGCCCGAACCACTTCCGCAGATTTTGGAGCCACGAGTGTCTTCTCCTGCCTGGCCCTCGCTTACTGTCTATTTTTCCCTGGACAATCAATTGTAGCAGACGGTACTTATCGTGTCTCAATATGTGGCCTAGATATTCAAGCTTTCTTTGTTTAATTGTATTCACGATTTCTTTCTCCTTTCCGATTCTTTGGAGTACCTCTATGTTGGTGACATGTTCGGTCCAGGATATACGAAGAATGCGTCGGTACACCCACATTTCGAATGCTTCTAGTTTTCTCGTTAGCGTCTCCGTCAGCGTCCAGGCCTCCACGCCATACAGCAAGATCGGAAAAATGTAGCATTTAAATATACGTAGTTTTAGGGGAAGAGACAAATCCTTGCTTATGAGGAGCTTTTTCATATTGCTAAATGCTGCTCTAGCTCGTTCTATTCTCGCCTTAATTTCTATGGTCTGTTCCTATTTTGCATTTACGTTGGTGCCAAGGTACACATAAGATTCTACATGGTCAATTAATATGTTACTTATCCGTAATTGTCGAGCAGGTTGTTGCTTTTTGCTTATCAGCATCCACTTTGTCTTCTTGAAGTTGAGGCTCAGGCCGTATTCCTCACTAACTGAATAAAGTCTTTCCATTACTTGTTGTAATTCGTCTATGGTACTGGCAAGGATCACCGTGTCGTCGGCGTATCTTATATTGTTCGTTAACTCGCCGTTTATTTTAATGCCCTCATTTGCATTTTCCATACATTTGTTAAATATTTCCTCGGAATACATATTGAATAGGAGTGGGGATAATATACACCCCTGACGGACACCTCTTTTGATCTGCACGCTTTCAGTGAGTTCGTTGCCAATTTTTGCTCTTGCTGTTTGACCCCAGTATAGGTTTGCCACAATTCGAATGTCCTTGTCGTCAATACCTGTCTTTCGCAGAATATCTATCAATTGTTCATGATTGACATTGTCAAATGCTTTTCTAAAACCCACAAAGCACAAATACACGTCCTTATCATTGTCTCTACACCGCTGTATAAGCACCCGGAGAGCGAAAATTGCTTCTCTAGTTCCAAGTGCTTTCCGAAAACCAAACTTCGATCTATCAATATTTGACTCACATTTATCATATATTCTTCTGTGAATGATTTTAGTGAACGCTTTAGTGACATGATTGATCAAGCTTATAAGCCGGTAGTCATCACAAATCTGGACATTTGGTTTCTTCGGGAATGTAATAAATGTTGACTGTAGCCAGTTCTCCGGGATTTTACCGCTATTATATATGTTGTTAAAAAGTACAACTAGATTATCAAGGAACTGTTTGTCTGATTTACATCGGATCTTTAATATTTCGCAGGATACATTGTCCGGACCTGCTGACTTATTGTTTTTTAGTGCTGCAATGGCATCTTCTATCTCCGATTTAAGAATTGAAGGTCCTATTTCTCCTTCTCCATATAGGTGATCATCAGTCCTGTTAGATGCAAATAATTTTTCTATGTATGATTTCCATGTTTTTAAGATCGTTGATGGCTCCGAGATAAGATTTCCATCGCTATCTTTTATGCTGTTGGGTGACTTATTGAATTTCCTCTTGTTTGTCATCGATTTTATTTTTTTGTGCATATTGTAACTGTCGTATTTTCGTTCGTATTGTTCTATTTCCCTGCATTCGTTGGAAAACCATTTTTCTTTGGCTTCTCGAATTTTCGTTCTTATGGTTTTGTGGATCTGCTGGTATTTTTTCTGCATTTTTATTCTTGAATTTACGTCTTTCATCCATCATATCCATTATTTCATCAGACATCCATTCTTTCTTTTTTCGTCGGTCACGCTTTAATAGAGTCGCGCATGTTGTTTGGATTGCTTCCCTCGATTTATCCCATCTCTCTATTATGTCCGACGTGTTCTCGTTAATGTCCTTTATTTTCTTTCCTAGTTGTTCTCGTACTTTTATTTCGGTTTCTGGGTTAGTGAGTTTTTTAATATCGATTGTGTTTAAATTAGATCTTTTCTCGAGCCGTTTTACTCTCATGACCATTCTGTATACCAACATTGTGGTCCGTAGGAACATCGGCACCTAGGTACGTTTTTGATGATTTTATCATGTTTTTATATCTTGTTGGTACTGCTATATAATCTATCTGATTTCTAATGATGTTGTCAGGTGAGTCAGCGGGGATTTCCATGTGTAAAGTCGACGTTTGGGGAGCTTGAAAAGTGTATTACTTAACAGCAGGTTATATTCCTGGCAGAAGCATATAAGTCTATCACCTCTATCGTTTCTCTCCCCTAGGCCGAAGTTTCCCACGATCTCATTCACCTTGCCTCATTCAGTCATTTTCATCAGGCTTCCTAGTTGTTCGTAGAATTCTTCGCTGGATGTGTTTCTTAGAGCAACGATTTGCTTGTTCCTAATAATTAAGTAATGCTTTTCTTGTTTTCTGATAGTTTTTTCTATATTCTATTGCATTTTCTATCAATATTTCACACCAATTCTATATTCAATCTAGTCTATTAATAAATTATTCTTTTATGTACTTAAACCATTCTTCCATTTTGTAGTTTAAGTCAAGGATTATATGAGTGTCACAATTCCACCAAGTGTGGAGGTTTTTTTTCTTTGAGTGTAGGTTATTTCTTTAAGTTTTTTATGTATATTGAACTTGATATTTTCTTTGTAGTTGACCCCTTTTTAAGTTACAATTCTTAAAGATGTTGCCATCTCGTTTAGGGCCATAACCCTGAATCAATTCATATACCTACAATCAAAATATGTCTTCCTTCGAAGCAAAACCGATGTATCTCGTAGTTTCCTGGAATAATATTTTCCATTGACGATGTATTTGACTCCTGTAACGATGAGTCCAAGCCATCACCTTTAAACCAGCGTGCGCGCGAACCAACCCATGTAGTAGGAGTGTATCGACAGTAGAAAGGGCAAAACTAATTACCAAGCTCCGCTTTATAAACCGCAACACTTCCTCATAGAGGAGAATCGACAGGTGTTGACTGAAAGTTCTCTTCTTCCCTACCCCGGCTTGTGGACGTGTTGAGTTCACAAGTTGTTCCGTTCCATACCGCCGTTACCCGAAGAGCGTGTTGAGCTCTTCACTACCCGTACTCTGAAGCAGTCGTGTTGAGACTGTCAAGGAGTGTCCTATTAACCCGAATCATTTAAGGAACGTGTTGAGTTCCTTTCCTTTCTTTGTACCTATCGTCCGCTGTTATTAAATCGATACAACGTTCACGTAAAATTTCAAATACACACTCGCTTGCCGATAAGACTAATTTCATATGACAAGGTAGCCTTAATTTGAATAAATAGGCCAGGTACTGAGAAGACTAAACCAAATTGTAAATATGAACATAAGATTTTTGTCAATTTAATTTAAGGAAGACAATAAAGTTTTATTTTTATTTTGAACTATGTCTCTGACTGTCCAAAAGCTACCCGGATAGTGACTCCTACGAGAGGACATCACACTCCTTTAATTCAATTGCCGGTATATAAATACACCGTTCTTATTTGTTTCATACTAGTCATCATCATCATCAGTGGTGCTACAGCTCTAGTTGAGCCTTGACCTTCCCCAGTCTATTTCGCCAGTCGTTTCTGTTCATCGCCAACCGTTGCCAATTTGCCGCGCCGATTTTCCTTGCGTCCTCGTCCACACCGTCCCTCCATCTCAGTCGTGGTCTGCCTCTACTCCTATTTCCCACTGGGACCGATAATAGAGTTCGTCTGGGTGGGTAATTTTCATTTGCTCTTGACACATGTCCAGCCCATCTAAGCCTACCTATTTTTATGAATGATATTACATCTCTAGTTTCATACTAGTAAATAATTAAATAAAGGACGACCACCGACTAGATGGACGAATGATATCAAGCGCATCACCACAAACTGGATGCAAGAAGCTCAAGACAGAAATAGGTAGAAAATTTTACGGGAGGCCTACGTTCAGCAGTGGACAAACATAGGCTAATTGATAATGATGAGTAAATAATTATGTTTTATTGTGTAATTTACTTATAAAGCTGTTAGTCTATGCAAAAAAAATTCACAATATGGAAGATGTCTGAATTACGGAAAATTTAATTATTAATGTGGATGTAGAATTTCTACAAATTTTTCGAACTTTCAAAGATTTCTATGTCTTGTCTTGCTCAAGTAAATAAATTTCCACATGGCTTCATGACAGTATTTCATACATACAATAAGTTAACACTATACACAACTAACCATGGATAAAAAATTATCAAGATCCTAACAGGTAGACTCACAATTTTACACATAAAATGGTTAAGCGAGGCATGCGCGAGTTACTTTAAAAGGTCTTTACTTAATTAACTAAGAATACAGATATAAAACAAAAAGCTTACCTCGTCAAATGTCGACTATCTTCGTGAACCGACATTTCTGAGCTTTTGAACTCGTTCAATTCTTTTCTGATCGCCGCTTTGTCCTTCGGAGTTAGTCTCGTCCAAGGTTTGTCCGCTCTGCGGTCGTAATCGTGTGCCTGAGTCACTTCAATATAATCATTAAATCGAATAATCTTCTTCTCCTTCAATTCTTCAACGGTTGGCCTGAAGCTTAATTTTCTTAACAAAAAACGTTTCTTCTCTTCCTTCTGTTTCTTTTCTTCGGCGGGACTTTGTTCTGTTAAAAAGGCAATATTATTAAGAATGGAAGTTTTATATTAGATATAGATATTGTTCGATATATTTGCAACATAAAATATACAAGCGATGTACTTTATTCGTTAGACAATTTACTCTTTATTTATATAGGTTTAAGGGTAAAGAAGAGAAAACCAAATACATGTGCATCAACAGACAAAAGGGACGAGATAGAATAGGGCAAAATGTTATAATAGACCTATATAACTTCGAAAGAGTGGAGAGTTTTAAATATCTCTGAGCAACAATCACTCCAGATAACGATATCTCGGAAGAGATTAAAGGAAGAATTCAGGCACCAAATAGAATACATTATTAAACGGTGATTAGACTGGTGCTTATGTATGGGTGTGATCCGTGGACCCTGACCAAAGAAACTAAAAGAAAACTTAGATGTTTTGAAAGGAAAATCCTCAGAAGAATCTTTGGGCCTTATCACGACATTAATAGCAACCAATACCGAATGAGAACAAATGCTGAGGTAAGTAGATGTATAAAGCGAGCGACATAGTCCAAGAGATTAAATCCCAATGTCTAGGATGGGCTGTATGTCCATAGACTCCCTAATAACCGCCTTGTCAAGTTAATATGTGAGGAAGACCCCACATGAAGAAGGCCCCTAGGACGTCCACGAATGCGATGGAGAGACAATATATGGTCAGATCTAAGAACAATGGGGCTACCCACTGACTCAACTGTTATGGACGACCATTCAAGATGGAAGTAAGTTGTGCAGTCAGCCAAGACCCACCTCGGGTTGTAGTGCTACGAGAAGAAGAAGAAAACAATGAGATTTTAGCTGGTCGATTCATACAGCTTTAATCTACATTTAAAAAGAAACTAAAATACTATCTGAAACTATTAGCACAAGAGAAGCCAGAAGCACTGTAAGTGAAATAGTAATGAAATAGGAATTATAATCGTAATTGTAGAAAGATAAATCTGCAAACAACCTGGTGTGAATATCCATAATAGCAACAAAACAAGGTACGTATTAATATTAGAAAGAAGGAGCTGAACGCCACAAAAAGACCAACTTTTACTCCGCGCTAGTGTACAGCGAAAACATATCGAGTTTTTCGATAGATAACCAAATATTTAAACCGTTCACCTTGATGCTGATAAACACAGCACAAGCAAACGCCAATACCTGGACTGAGAGTGTGAAGAGTAAGTCTTGTGGATGGACAAATGCAATAGTAACGGAATTATTGTTCATTGTTGCTACAGGAAACAAGAAATAATACTAGCTTGTCCGTATATACCCAATTGATGTCGGTGGCTATTGAGAGAGTGCTTACCGATGTGGAAGCCTCACTTACAAATACAGAATAATCTTCCCCAATCTATGTAGCGGTGGAATAACACGGTAGAAACTTAACTGTTTTAAAAACTGTAAACAGAAACAGTAAAAACAGATATTAATAAGAATTATGCGAAAATAGTTGAAGACACTACTAGAGGCATAGAAGAACAGTAGAACGAAATGAAGACATCTATTACCACAGTTAATAGAAGAGAAAAGAAGCAAGAATGCAAACGAATACAAAAAGTTGCATAAGACTATACTAAAGGAGATAAAAGGAGCAAAAGAAGCATGGCTGGCGGAGAAATGTAAGGAAATTGAAACACCACAACGCAAACATGACGATTTCCATACGCACCAAAAATTAAAGAGGTACAGAACACCAGAAAACAACGCAATACAGGCATAGTTGTAGATTTTGAAGGCCAGATTTTGACTACAATTCGAAGATAAATTACGAAGATGAAAAGAATATAATATGCAAGAATTATTCGAAGATGCAGCACGAAGTCCGACTGAAATAAACAATCCCTACGGCCCAGAAATAACAAACCAAGAAGTAACTATGGCCATTAAGCGGATAAAAGATGGGAAATCACCAGGACCTGATGAGGTGCATTGTGAAATTTTAAAGTTGTTAGAGGTACAATGATAGATGGACCAGAAAGATTTTGGAATGGCGACCAAGGCAAGATGCATATCGAAGCAGATGACGACCACCGACTAGATGGACGGATGACATCAAGCGTATCACCACAAACTGGATGCAAGAAGCTCAAGATGCTCCCAAACAGTCCTCGTAGACACACCGTCTCAGGACTAGCAACTTCAACGTGGAGTCATATGTCGCCATGTTACCTAATCCAACGGTAACTTCAACATCTTAAATCATTATAAGAAACTTTGTAAACTAAATGTAATTAATTATTTGTTAACGGGTTTTTACCCATATATTTAGTGGCTACATTCATGTACTCCTATACACTGATGATGGAATATGAATTCCGAAAACGTTTTGTCTGTCTAACTTAGCTCGTTTGGGTTCTTAAATATATGCCTTTTACAACAGATTTTTAATAAATTTTTTGCGTTCTTTGCCTTATGAACGTATATTTCGCGAAGCCGTGAATAGAATAAGATGGGTCAATGTGATCGCCAACATCTCTAGAAGATAGGCACATTTAGAAGAAGAAGTATCTACACCCGGTTTCATTACACTTCACCCTGAATGAGCGTCTCTATCTGGAATGACCATCCATTCCGCAGCTTGGACTAAGAAACTAGAATGGGCCAGAAATAAACATAGCAAACAAGAATTCACAATGAAGCGTCAGTCAGTCAGAAGGAAAATGAGGAAAAACTCAATTATTGAAAAGTACTCAAGAAAACCATGATGAACGTCAGTAACGATTGAAAAATGTCCAGCGAGCGAGTATGAGTGGTGCAGTGAGAAAAAGGTTTAAGTACATGTTGAAACAAGGGATCGATTCAAAAAAGCTGTATTTTAAAATATAAAGAGAATAGGCATTAAAGCCTATACAAAAACCAAAAACATAAATGGAAGGTATACCAAAAATATCTTTTAAAGATCGATAAAAATATCTTTTTAGATGTGACTCGTTTGAAATTTACAAAAATAGAAGAGATAGTTAATATCGTACACAGACGGTATTTTCATAATATATACTAAATAAAGGGGTTGAAAATATCCACTATTATTCACTTCAAAATGTTGCTTTTTAAACATTACAACTGTTATGCATTTGTGAATTTCATGAATGGGAAATGATGAATTTTTCGAAAGATATCCTGTTAAAAAACTTGGAACTCACAATTGGAAGAATCAGGTTCCAGTGAAAAAGAGCATATTTCGATTTAAAAAATTATCCGTATCATGCCAAAGTCGCTTTTAAACTCGGCTTTGTCGTATCATGAATACACTTAAGTCTTTATCTAGAAAATTCCAATATGCGGAGATGAGGTTCGCTACATTAATCATATACTTCTTTTAAAATAGTATTTCTAAACTAATATTTTATTTTATTTAAACACTTTATCTATTTTTAAACTTCCACCGCCACTGTTCTTATGGCGTTATTTTATTGACCCACTGCCAACATCGTTAACAACATACTGGGAGATTCTCTCTTTAACTTCTAATGAACAAAGGATTTTATACAGAAGTCCTCGACATTCGGTTAATGTGATAGGGACACTAAGCATTCCCGGGAGGTCTAAATGACAAATCGACAATTTAACTAGGTAACTACATGGAACATAGTGTAGATATAGAGAGGTTCAGAGGTTCGAAACTATTTATTATTCAACGGGAGATGTCCGGATTTGGCACTTCTCTATTTGGTGTGTTTGGCACGGAACGGTTCAATTTCCGAATCCAAATATATTCAAAAGCAATGGATATTTTGTGTGTAGCAATCACATGAGTTTAGAGTAACAGTTTTCATTTTTATAAGAGTCTACTTCAATTTTAGAAGTTATACAGTTGTTCATTTTAGTGTAATGACGAAATTTGATTTATTACTTACGTTAATTCTAGACAAACAAATATCATTCGTTACGTATACCTGAAAGAGTAATCATCGTTCTTGTCGAATAGATTTTACACTTGTTTTGCGATTTTAGACTTCTTTGGCTTAAAAAGTGTCTATACGCGTACTATTGTTAGTGCATTTAATGCGATTTAAATAATATTTCATTAAACTCACAAGAAACGAACAATAACAAATTTGGACATAATACTAGTTGCCCCATATCTAGGCAACTTCTATTACTATGGTGTATGATAAGTTGCCGCCTTCTGACTCTCACCCATCGAGCAAAAAGATAAAAGAGGGAATCTAAAGGCGCGTTTTCACGGGTCGATCTGAGTCGAACGATTTGGATCGACTAGCCGTCGACTAATAAATCGAAAGCAAATTGAACATGTAAACCATAAATCGACGGTCGTTCGGCGGAGTGAGTCGATTCGACGGAAGTCGAAAGACTGTCTACTTTTCATAGGCGATTCCGCCGAATCGATGTCGAAAAAACTGGAATAATAATTTTTTAATAAATATAGATGTTAGAAAATAATTATTTTTGTTTTCCAAAAACAAATTGTCATTAGAACAGGCAATTTTCATATGTGTTGGTTTTTTGTATACATTAGTCCCATATCCACTATTTTACTTTGAGATTAAAACATCCAGAAAAGGAGTTATTTTATTTCTTTTCCATTGTAAATTTTATTGACTCAACCTTTTACCTTTTATTTATATCAATCAGAAATGTATCCAACACATCATCTACATATTTTCAACATATTGTGGACTTTAAATTTTAATTAGGAATGGTTGTTTTGAAGTCTTCCATCAATATATTAGCTAATAATGAATTTAAAGCACAGTCCAAAAATTTTTTTTATAGAAATCATTATTTAGATAAAAATAAGTGTTAATTACTAATAAACTGGGAATAAGCCACAATTAAAGATAAAAATACGTTTATTGACGTTTCAATTTCCACTTCGGAAATCGTTCTCAAAATACAAACAGTAAATTAAACAAATTTTGTTTTTTGTTACATAGTGAAAAATTCTTCTAATAATTTAATTTTATCTGACTCATTTATATTGACAATTCAGACATACATTATGCATTTTAAAGTAGACGACTTTAAAATGATATTGCCAATATTGTTGAGTTGCGCTCCTGGGACGACTTTACTTATAAGATAGTTCATTCGATTACATGAAATCAACTTTAACTTGAGAATATCCGTCAGAAAAAATCATAGCATGTAATTCGTCTTTAAAAAGACAAACACATGACATGATGACAGTAAAATTCTCCTGTTAGTGATTCCATAGTAAATTATGAGGGAAAAACCAGGAAAAAACCTCATAATACTATCCCGACATTGTAAGTATTTGTTCGTGAATTTAGTTTACCTTCAACAAACATCAAAATTCTGATTTTATATGTTACGTTATTTAAAAAACATAAATGAAGTATCCTTTATATGTTACTGACTTACTAATGCTGGTATTTTCTTATTAATAACTTCCTCTTTCAATATTTAATTTACAATGCCACAAGAAAATAGCTTCAGAACAATAAAAATAAGTGTTGTCCGTAGATCATATCAACAGTTTCATTATAGCTGATACATTTAATTTGGTCCTAATTGTTTTCAAAGTTTTATCTAAGAAAATACCATCTTAAGGGTACATTTATAAATAGACTATTTATTTATGTAAAACTTTACTTCGAAAATATTACATTTACAAATCAATGTACCAAATTATATTAACATTTAAAAAATATAGATAATTTTAATAACATTTGTGACTTTTTTTGTCTATCAATTACAATTAATTCAACATTCATCGACTGTCGTGTAAACCTTTTTGCTTTCGGCACAGATCGAATGATGGTCGAACGATCCAAATCGTTCGACTCAGATCGACCCGTGAAAACGCGCCTTAATCGTTATGAAAAGGAGACCAAAAAAGTGGCCTCTGATGGCGGACATATCCGGAAATCCAAAGGCGCTAAATTTAAATTTTCCAACACTTATTAACAAATAGCTATAAAATATTTTTCAGACGAGAAAGTTTTAATTAAATATTAACTATAATAGTCTAAAAAGTGACACAATTGGTAAAAAACTTCAATATAAATAAAATTTCATGTGACAGTTGGGACAAACAATAACATAACCAAACTAAATTTGACTTCTCAAACAAGGAAAGACTATCTTTCCTTGTTTAAAGTGGCCTCTCAAGATAGCACTTCCTGTCTAACAATATTTATGCCCCCACTACCTTTACATTCCCTCTTTTATCTTTTTGCTCGATGCTCTCACCAATGAATTCAAACAAATCTCAAAAAGCTGTGTTTGATTACGAGGACAGTTCAAATCCAACAATGTCGACAAACCAAATTCTAACCAACACAAACTCATCACCAATAATAAGGTATCTGACACTGCTGCAGGAAAATCAGCACCTAGACCAACGTTCCCAACTGAGCATCAGGCTGTGGTTCTTCATGTCGAAAATAGTTTAAAAGCTGCATAACTACATACACGGAGTTGGTACTATCATTGGAGCCAAGACCATTTCTTCAATCCAGGATATCAAATAAAAGGGTATGTATTTACTTATCCAATTCTGAACTTGTTGAAAAATTGATAAATTCTCATCCATTCATTCAAATTTTCACTCTAAATTCGGACACTTCCATCACTAACCAAAATAATTGTTATTATTTCAAATATGTCATCTTTCATTCCTCATATTCTAGTAAGCTTTAGGACCCAAGTTTATATAGTTTCCCCCTTCCGATTCATCACGAAATACAGATAGCGCTGCACAAGCAACATCTTCATCCAACTTACTGATCTACAACATATATCTTCAAGAACACATAAAATTAAAATTCAAAAGGAATATCCAAGGCAAGTGTCAAGAACTTTGGATTGCCAAATTCACAAAACTCAAAAAAATACAGCTTAATGTTAACAGCTATTTATCTCTATCTCTCTCCAACGGCAGATCATGTTGTATACATATCGGGAGTAAATAACACAGGAAGAAATGGTGTTGCAATTATGGTAACTAAAAAAGATTCACAATACGTGTGAAACAATACGGAAAAACTGATAGTCGAGGGTAGAGTTGAAGGAAAGGTACCTAGTGGAAGATCTCCAAGCCGTTGGGTAAATCAAACAAAAATGTTGATTAACCAAGGGTTACATGAAGCCGAACAACTAGCCCAGGACAGGGCGCTGGAGGGAAATCGTGAAAAAACAGGCCTGATGGTGAATCAGTGGACTCCCCCAAAAGGGATTAGGACTGAGGAGGAGGATTTATCTCTAACATCCCTGAACAGAAAAAAGAAGATAACAATACCAAGATAGAGGATAGGACACACACGTTTGACATATGGTCATCTTATGTAATCTACAGACCAACAGTTATGCTACCACTGCAACGATGTTCCTGTAACGATCGAGGAAATCCTCACAGAATGTCAACACTATTGGCAATGTGGCCACTCACATTGCCAATAATATAAACTACAGTTTAAAAGAATTTCACACTTGTTTAACACAATTTAATTCACATAATATTGTTATTTTTTAACTGCTAAAGTATCTGTAATGTAAATATTCATAAGTATGTACTATTATAAACCTTTGCTCCCGAGTCAATGATCAAAGATATCGAGACACATTAAGTTTACCCTGTTAGTTACCCGAGTACCCTGCTAGTTTCATAACAGTTAATTTTATAGTCTTCAGCTAACATGCAACAAATGTTTCACTTTTTGATTATCTTTCTGAACTATCCATTTTACAGTACATTTATAGTATTGCAGTCTACACACCGGAGGGACCGCAGACGTTCGGATACAATTAGCGTCTCTTAGTAAAGACAATGACGTCGACTTTGCTAAGTATCAAGACAATTACTCTACACACACACACACACACACACACACACACACACACACACACACACACACACACACTACACCTCAAATTGTAAGATTGGCGAATGGATTTGGTGTCCGCAGTCATTTAAACACAAACAAACAACAAAAATAGTATTGCAGTCAATGGCAAACATAGAGGAGGTAGCTTAAATTTTATATCGGAAAAACTGCGAAAAAAACTTAGCATATAAAATCTGGTTCCATATGCCAGCTTCTGCGTTTAAACTAAATGGAACCACAGGAAAATGCCTTTCAATGAAGGCAGAGGTAGAACAGCGTGGGCCAAAAGCTTGGTGCACATAGAAATTACGTTGCAAACTAAGGGGATTCCGAGTATCAAGCTACACCCAGAATTCATTAGCCTTTTACGGTCAAGCAGAACTTTGTCGTGAGTGACCATCCATTCTCTAGTGTTTCGTGACAAAAGAGTGGACTAAGAACAACAAAAAATAAAGCAAAATGGAAGACGAATAGAGTCATCCGAAAACTATGGAACTAGATTGCCATACTGCCAAAGAGATGTAAAGGAACTGATAAAGCGAAAATAATCGGTTTAAGTTTGTGTTGAAGCAAGGCCTCAACCCAAAATAAGCTCGATAGAAAGGTACAAATGGATGTAGGAAATACATAAGAAAACTTTCAGGTTGCGGTATACAAAAGATTTATAATGCCAACCACCTCTTCGAAATCCACAATCTACAAGATTGAGCTTTAGACTAACCCTATCAGCATCCATGACAAATATGTTATAAATTGTATGATTTTTTATTTATATATCATCCAATAAACATATCAACAAATTATTATACACACTTACTTTTCAAAATGTTCCTCTCTTCCAATTCCTCTTGTGTAGGTCTCATGCTAAGCCTTCTGATCAATCTAGCTCCTATAGCCTCTTTGGCCTCCTGCCTCTCATTATCCGATTGTATCTGAAGGATATTCCTATTGATCAGCTCCTGTCTGTCGGGTCTGAGAGCCAATTTGAGCGATAGACTCTCTTTCCTTGCGAGCTTAAGCGCCAATCTCTTTTCGTCAGTCATCGATTCATCGTCTCTGTAAGTGATAGGACCATCGTTGGAATCGCTATCGCTCTCGTCTTCCCTGATCACGAACGGACGCGCGTTTTCTTTGTTCTCTATGGCTGTCGCCAAACCAAATCTGACTGGTTTGTTGCTACTGAAACATAAAATCCAAATATATTAATGTCATAGTCAGCGAAATACGGTATCTGCTACCTAGTAGTAATTTGAAGAAATCTAATTTAAAGAATTTATTCTTTGACTTAAAATACAAAAGATACGAGTTTTACTAAATTATCGAAGCAATCTCCTACAATCTACTCAATCTAAAGAATGATACCAAACATTCTTCTTCTTCTTTTTTCTACGTCATGTGTTTATATGACCTGTGTTTACTGGGTAATATTTATTGTATATATGTAATAATACTGGGTCTTAATTGTGATTCCGAAGACCAGCTGTCTTGACATCTCTTTGATGGTCTTCCTGGGGCCTTCTTCCGTTTGGTTTTCTACCTCTTACACTTTTTGGACCATATTTTGATATCTTCGTCTTATTTTCGATCACGTCTAGGTTCCGCTACTATCGAACTTAATACTTTCATCTCAACTGCTCTGAGAGCTTGTTTTGCTTTCTTTCTATCAGCTTTGGTTTCTATTATGTAAGTAACTAATCTATTTTTCGTAATCTAAGTTTCTATATCTATTTATGTAAGTAAACGCAAGTTTAATAAACTCTTATTTTTCTTTTCAATCCTAGATGCTTGTTTTTCCACACAATGTTTTTTATTGCCCCTTCAGTGGTTGCTGCTTTTCTGGCTTGATTGGATGTTCCTCTATATATGCCTCGGTAGCTTGCTACATCCTCTCTCTAAGGTACTTCTTCTTCAAGTGCCGTCTTCGTTCCAAGTTTGGCTATCATCAAAGCTATGCGTATTTTTGATGCTGCAGATCTTAACAGTTGGTAATTGGTGCAATTGTACCATTCTCTCAAGTTTTTCAACCATGAATGCCTTCTTCTTCCTATAGATCTCTTTCCCATTATCTTTCCCTGTATAATCAATTGCAGCAACTGGTATTTATCTCCCCTCATAACATGTCCCAAATATTGTAGTTTGCGCTTTTTAACACTAAGTATCAGCTCTTTCTCTTTCCGCACTCTCCGCAAAACCTCCACATTTGTTACTTTCTCTGTCCAGGGTATTCTTAATATTCTACGATGCATCCACAACTCAAATGCTTCTATCTTTTTGGTATCGATCTTTTTCAATGTCCATGTTTCCATCCCGTAGAGGAGAACTGACATAACGTAACATCTCAAAAGGCGAATTTTAAGTTTTAGACTTAGATCTCTTCCGCAGAACACCTTTTTCAATTTAGTAAATGTGGCTCTAGCTTTCTCTATTCTGGTTCTGATTTCTTCAGAGCAATCATTATTTTCGTTGATAACAGTTCCCAGGTAATTATATCTTCTTACACGTTCGATTCTTTGATCATGCACGGTTATGTCAGGGAAGTTTTGTGGTGATTTAGATATTAGCATTATTTTTGTTTTGCTTATGTTAAGTGATAATCCGTGTTCTTCACTGCATTCTACTATTTTGTTAATTAGTATTTGAAGATCTTCCCAAGTTTCTGCGATTAGTACCGTGTCATCGGCATATCTCAAGTTGTTTATTCGGATGCCATTTATCTTAATACCTATATTTTGATCCGAAAGTGCTGTGTTTATAATGTCTTCGGAGTATAGATTGAATAAGGTCGGTGAGAGTATAAAACCCTGTCTTACGCCTTTCTTGATCTCGATTTCCTCCGTTGTCTCTTGCTCTATTCGGATATTTGCTTTCTGGTTATAGTAAATCTTAGAGATAATTCTAATGTCCCTTTTATCCAAGTTTTTTCCTACTAGCAGTTTCATTAAGTGATCGTGACGAACTTTATCAAACGCTTTGTTGTAATCAATGAAGCACACATATATATATATATATATATATATATATATATATATATATATCTTGGTTTATATCTAGACATCTTTGGCATATGACGTTAAGTGCAAATAGTGCTTCTCTTGTTCCAAGCCCGTTCCGAAATCCGAATTGAGTATTACTAATATCTGCATCTAGTTTTCTGTTAATTCTTGAGTGGATTACTTTGATGAATACTTTTAATGTATGCCCCATTAAGCTTATAGTGCGGTAGTTAGTGCACTGTTTTGCATTTGCCTTTTTTGGTAAGGTTACAAAAGTTGAAAGTAGCCATTCCTTTGGTATTTCTCCTCTTTTGTAGATGCAGTTAAAAAGGTTGAGTAGAATATTCACTGATTCGCCTTCCACAAGCTTAAGAAGTTCTGATGTGAGCCCGTCTGGACCCGGTGATTTACCATTTTTCATTATTTTTATAGCGTATAATAGTTCTTCTTTAGTTATTTCTGGTCCTTCGTCGCCTTGCAAGTTATCTATATTAGGTTCTTGTCTTTCATTAACAATTCTTCTACATAGTTCTTCCAGGTCCTAAGCTTTTCTTGTAGATCGGCTATTATTTCACCATTTGCGTTGCATAGGAGATTGGGATGTTTTCGTTTTTGTGTACCTGTCAGTTCCTTTATCTTTTTATGTAAGTTAAAAGTGTCATGTTTGAGATGTAGTTCTTCGATTTCCTCGTTTTCTTATCTCCTTCCTTGTTTTCTTATCTCGTCCATGGTGGATCTTCTCCAAGTTTGTACTGGGCGACCTTTTTTTCGTTTTCCTTGAGGATTCCACTCTAGGGCAGTCTTTGCAATACTGGAGTTATTAAATGTTGTTTTAAATCTTCTTTAATTGTTGGATCTTGTAAGCGGCTGGTATCTATGTGATCTATTTTTGTTTTATTTGAAGGTCTTTTGAGTCTAATGTGTACCCGCGCTATCAGGGGGTTATGATCTGAAGAAATATCTGCGCCTGGATAAGCCTTAACTGATCTTATACAGTTTCTGTATCGCTCATTTATTAAAATATAATCTATCTGATTCCTAATTGTTTTTTCCCTAGTGTGTTGAGGGGACGTCCATGTGTACAGTCTTCGTTTGGGTAGCTTAAAGAATGTATTTGAAATTATCATATCATTCTCTTGACAGAACTCTAAAAGTTTGTCTCCTCTGTCGTTTCTAAGGTACTAATTGATTATAATCGTATCGAATAGAATCGATTGGAACTGAATCGAATAGAATAGCATTGAATTAAATCGATTAGACTCGAATCAAATACATTGAATTAAAAAACATCGCTAAAGTACCATGTGTTTTTATTATATACCTATAAATATAAAGTTAAGCAGTCAGAATTAAGTTCTTCTATAATCCTTTTCATTTTGGGAGATACATTTTTCTCTTGGAACTCTCAATTATGGTGACTACGTCGCTTATCAAATACTTTAGATATATTCAGGAAAAACAAACACCGGGCTACTGTATTTTGAAATTCTCTCTGGCGAATTATACCTATGGCATTTGTGGATGGCATCTGGGATTTTTTTCCTTAGTTCTTTGGCTATCAATTTCGTAAAGATTTTCGATATTGCTTCTAGCAGTCATTTTTTATATATAGTACAGGTTGTTTACAACTGTCGTTGTTTTCCTGTCCCTAGTTTCCATAGTTTCCTATCTCGGGTGTCGGCTTCATTTAGCTGTCTTCCTTCCATGGCTTCATTCACGTCATCCCGCCAGCTTCTTCTTGGACGCCCTCTTTTCCTTCTTTCGGTTGGGATCCATTTTAATATTTTCTTTGGCCACCTCTCGTCTGCCATTCTGTTTACATGACCGAACCAAGTTAGTTGTTTTTTCTGGACTTCATATATAATGTCTTTTTCTTGCTCCATTCTACGTTTTATTTCTTCATTGCGGATTCTGTCCATCCTTGTCAATCTACAGCTTCTTCTCATAAAATCCATCTCGGTAGCTTGTAATTTTTTCCTGTTTCTTTTACTAGTGTCCCATATCTCTGCTCCGTATGTTACCACCGGCTCAACCATCGTCTTATATATTCGTTTTTTCGTCGTTCTTGTGATTTTTTTATCCCAGAGAATGGAGTTTAGGCATTTGGTAATGTTTCTGCCTTTGTTTATTCTTGTATTTATTTCTTCATGGCTATTTCCGTCTTTTGTAAACACTACTCCTAGGTATTTTACTCTATTTGTTCCTTTGATTTTGTCACTTTCCAATGTCAGGTCTTCGACTGTATTTTTCCCCACTGAGAGATATTCGCATTTTTGTAAGTTCATTGTCAGTCCACATTCTTCGTACGCTGTTTGTAGTTTCCTAACCATATAGCTGAGGTCGTCTATATCTTCTGCTACCACCAGTTGGTCATCAGCGAAGAATAGTGTATAGAGAATATCCTCATCTATTTGTATTCCCATATTTCTGCATTGTCTTTGTCACTTTTGTAGAGATCGATCCAGATATATTTTAAACAGCGTAGGTGATAAACAACATCCCTGTCGTAGCCCTTTCGTAGTGTTGAATTTCTCACTAAGTTTGCCACCTATTTTACTTGATGCGGTGTTGTTTACATACCACTTTTGAGTTGCTATTATTAACGAAGGTTTTATTTCCATGTTTTGCATTTTACTTCATAAATTATTTATCGGCACGTTATCATATGCCTTTTCAAGATCTATCAGGGCTATATGTGTTTCTTTGTTGTCGCTTTTCGATTAATATTTTAAGTGTAAATAGATTATCTATAGTCGATCTTCCAGCTCTGAATCTGCATTGTTCTTCTGGTTGTTTCATACGAATGTCTTCTTCTATGAGGTTTCTAAGTATTCGGGAGTACAGTCGTCCTATAGTGGGTATGACAGCAATTCCTCTATAGTTTCTGACATTGTTTCGTGCTCCTTTTTTGTATATTGGGGTTATATAGGCCTCACGCCATTCTAACGGGGTCTCTTCTCCATTCAGGCATCGTTGGAACAGATCTTTGAGCATTTCCCACAGTTTAGCTGAGCCGTATTTAATAAATTCTGGTGAGATGTTTCCTGGGCCTGGCGCTTTTTCAAGTTTAAAAGATCTTATCGCTTCTACGATATTTGTCATGTTCAATTCAATGAATTCTGATCGTATGTTTCTGTTTGCATTTTCGTATTGAAAATTTTGTTGTCCTTCTTGTAGTAACTGTTTAAAGTAGTCTACTCAGTCTTTTTCTGTTATGTTACTTAAATCTAATTTATTGTTGGTTGACGTTTTCATAGATTTTAGCGTTCTCCAGGCTTCTGAACTTTTCGATCCTTCAATCATTTGTTCTATGTATTCTCATTTCTTTTCCCAAGATCTATTTTTCCTTTTTGTTACTTCCGTCTTTACCAGTTTATTTAGGTTTTTATATATTTATTTGGAGGGGTCGTCTTTTTTATCTAGATATGTTAGGTATGCTTCTTTTTTCTTCTTTATCATTTCATCTATTCCCTCATCCCACCAATATGGTTTTTGTTTTACGGTTTTTGTTTTGTCTAGCAGTCATACTTTTCCTAAACACACTTAACAATATCAACGAAACGTAAAAATCCATCCATCTTCAAACATATTATGAACGAGGGCATAGAATGTGGCATGAATCAAATGTGGCATAGATTCAATGCTTAATAATTTCCAGAATTCCTCAAATTTTATTAAAAATTCTGTCTTCTGATATTCTTTGATGAAGTATTATACTTCTTATATTCTTTGTAATTTAAGAAGTATTCTGTCTTTAAGTATTATCCATATTTGTTATTTTTATTTTTATTGCTTAACAAATAATCTAAGAACATAAGCTTTCCAATGTCACTCATCTCGTTAGGAAGAAATAATGCCACCAATGATACTGCTGAGATGTTGTTGATAGGTGATATTTCTAACAAAATGTTTCGTATTAAACACCTGTGAAGAGGTAAAAGCTGAGAAAGAGGAAGAAGAATTAGTGATATTACTAATGAACTAGTTATAGTTAAGACTCAACCTTTCCTTGTCTGCTTTTTACAGTTCTGTCTATTGTAAATGATTGACAATTTTCTCTGCCAATCGTCCTTGCATCCTCATCTACAGCATTCTTCTAGTTAACCCTTGGCCTACTACTATTTCCAGTAAACAGCGATAATAGGGTTCATCTGAGAGGATAATATTAATTCGGTCGACAGATGTCCTACCCATCTTACCCTACATATTCTTATGAAGGATATTACATATGTACCATTTGTTATTTCTTTATATTTCATATAAATCCGGCTTAAGTAATATTCTTAAGATATTTCGTTCGAAGATGAGTAAATGAGTTTAAGAAGGAATCAATATTTCTGACATATATTTTCGAATAGCCTCATAACTGCTAGTGTCGATTTTAAGTCCAGATGAATGAAGAGGGTTGAGCTTATTGCTAATAATTATATCCCTCAAAGATAAATCGTTAGGAAACCGACAAAAGTTTGATACAGTTTGCGATAATAAAATTGTATTACACGTTAAAATGGCTATAATTATTAGAACTAATTTAAGTGTTGCAAATTACTACTGGTAGAAAAATATAAGTTTAACGATTTATGGAAAAATGTTCCTATTGCTACAAAAAGTATAATAAAATGAAATTTAAGATTCAAATAAAAATGATAGATCTGTAGTGCTTGATTTTATGGAAAGAATAACTAAAATCAGTAACGAAATACAGATTAATTACTTAAATAAATAAATATTAGATAGATAATAAGAAACCCATTCAGAAGAATTAACATTTGCGTTTATCGATATTCTTTGTTAGGCAAAACAAAATATATCAGATAATAAAGTCCTCAAAAGCAAGCAGATGGAATATTGTCTCATATAAGATACAGGTAATTCACACATTTAGGCGTTTGAAATGTCTTATGTGTAAGATTACAGTATTGTGCGAATTAATGGAATCATAGGCTGTTTTAATGAAAAAACAGTTTATTTAGTAAAAAATTATAATTTGACAAAATTATAAAGGTAAACTTACATTATTCAGTAGGAAATATGTCCCCCTTTGGCAGCAATTACTGCTTTTACACGTTTTGGCATAGATTCTATGAGTTTCTGGCAATTGTCAGATATCCTTTCATTTCGATACCAAACCTGAATGGCCGCTTCTATCATTTTTGTTTTAGTGGTACAGTCGATTTTTCGCAGTCTAGCTTTACAAATGGCCCATAAATTTTCAATGGGGTTGAGGTCGGGCGAATTACCGGGCCAATCTAAAACATTAATCTTCATATTTTTGAAAAATGCCATCATTTCTTTTGATTTGTGACAGGGAGCAGAGTCCTGATGAAGAATCGCTCCTCCTTGGGTTGACATTTTTGGAGTTGTTTGTCCAAATACTTTTCCAACATGGATTTGTATTTTTAGCTGTTCATCATGCCTTCAATCGGCACCAAAGATCCAACACCCATGTATGAAAAACATTCCCAAAACATTTTCTTGACTGGATGTTTTACGGTTTGATCAATATGAGATGGTGTAAGCTTTTCATTGTCAGACTTCCTGACGAATTTCGACCGCTGTCCCTGAACTATAAAGTGGGTTTCATCTGTAAACAGGACTTTTTTCCAGTCGATTACAGTCCAATTAGAGTATTTTTTGGTCCATAGTAGCCTTTGTTTCTTCATTCGTTCAGTTAGAAGTTGTGTTTTCTGTGGACGAATTGCTATTCTACCATTCTCCAAAAGTCTTTTACGAACAGTTGAGTCATGAATCACTATAGCTGATGCTGCTAGATCTTGTTGTAGGTCTTGGCTTGATTTTCTTGGGTCCAATTTGCTCTTTCGAAGTAAAAATCTATCATCTGCTGGTGTTGTTTTTCTCTTTCTTCCACATTTTCCTAATCTTTTCACATCCACTGATCCCGTTTCTCGTTTACGCTTCAAAATTTTGCTTACTACCCCCTGACTCACTCCACGCGTTCTAGCTATCTCTCTTTGTGACATACTAGTGTGTTAACTCAACGTGACAATCTTTTCAAGCTTCCTAGGCGTAATATCCATGTTGGAATAAAACCAAAAACAACACAAAATAGTACAAAAACCCCCAAAACAACACAAGCTTGGTAAGAAATGACCTAAAACACACTCAAACACACCAACACACAGTAAGGTTATGTTTTCAATGCTTGGTCAGCTGTCAACTGTGTAGGTAGTGTTGCCAACTGTGAATATTGAAAAAATGAAAAAAAATTCACAGTGATTCCATTAATTCGCACAATACTGTAGTTATAATTTAGAAATAAAGCCTTAAAACAAAGTTTCGGCATAGATATTTAATTATAATATACAGACAATAACATATGTATATATGAGGACGGTCGGATAAGTACTTAACCTACAAAAGAAAAACTAAAATTTTAGAAAAAAAAAAAAAAATGTTTTCGATATACAAAGTAGTCCCCCGTGGCGGCGATTACCTTCTCATTTTATTGAAATTTCTGCCTACGAGTGAGTTTTTCAGGTTTGAAAACAAAAAGAAGTCACACGGGCCAAATCTGGAGAATAATGGTGATCTGAATAATGGTGTACTAATCTGGTGAATGGGTCAGCAGTTCGTGGTCCAATTTGAGCAATAAGGCCGTGGCGATCGTCGAGGTGCAAGATGGTGTGTTGTAATGGTGAAATAGCACATTTCCTTCACAAAATAGGGCAGTTTTTCTACAATTCGGCACGTGTGTGACCGTTTCTCCCTTCTTCAAGTAGTCGAGGTAGATCTCATCTGGTAAATTCCAGAAAACGATGACCATCACCTTTCCAGCCTATAGGACAGTCTTAGCATTATTCGGAGCATATTCTGCCGTCGAAGTCTACTGTTTCGACTATTCCTTAGTCTCTATGTGTACCAGTAGATCCATGCTTTGTCGATGGTCACGCAACGATGCAGAAACACCTTCGGATTACCTCTTAAACAGCATCAAACACTGCTCTGAAGTGGTCTCACGGTTGCCTAAGTGAGCAAACTCGGCATCCTTCGCGCAGACAGCTTTCTGATGCCTAAAATTTCATATAGGATATGACTCACCGTGGTCTTTTGAGATGCCTACTGTCTCAACTATCTCGCACGCCTTCAATCAGCGGTATGTCAATACGAGATCGAGGATTTTTATCACATTATCCTACCTGCGACCACTTTGAAACTCCTTAAACCAATATTTGACGGCCGCCATCGAAGGAGAAGAGCTACCGTACACATCAGAGCATCCGAACGCTCTTTGATTTCACGGTGCAATTTTCCTACCAACAACAAGAATCAAATTAACAACCAATCTTCTTAAAATTTTTCTAAAATCCGCGTGCAAGAACGCTTTCCCACACGTTCAAAACAAAACTTGACTATGACTCGGATTCGGCTGAAATTTTTGACATTAGAGGATAGTAATGATGGTGGCGCCATCGGACGGTGATGATAAGTACTTATCGGTCCGCATTCGTAGTTATGACTGAATAAATTAGAGGAAGCTAGTGAAGATACGTAATACTATTCAAAATAAAAAAAACCGAACATTCAAGACGACCAGTTTGGAAAAAAATATTTTCAGAGATTAGGATTAGATTGTATTATTCCATCTGATTGATCAAAAAACCCTATTGAAATCATCGTGTTTACTAATTATATAAAGCATTTATATTGTAACTATAATAATAAATAAATGTATTTCTTCTGAATATAAAGCAATAATAAGTATTAAATATAGTGACGGTCATGATCGGCGATACAATGATCTGACAGTAAGAATTTGAAGAAGAAGAACTACACCTAGTTTCATATTTACCATATTCTAATCCTAGGCCTCAGATGCGACCTTCTGTCAGAACGATGAAATAAAAATAAATTAGAAACAAAAAATAAGCCAATCATTTATAGTAACAGCTATTGTAAGCATCTTTAGGGTGTATATTTTCTAAACTGTATTATTTGCAATTTTCAAAATTGACTAACTGTAAAAAAAGTCAAATTCTATTGAGTTGATGACTTCTTATTGACTTTTTCCTTTATATTAAAAGTATCATTTGGATGGATTGTGATGAAAATTAAAAATATATCCAAACGTCTAGTATTCACTATTAATATAAATTGCGAAATATTAAATAATTAATTTTTGTGAAACTTTAATATCTACAAATTTTGGAAATCGATAAATATAAAGAAGAGTTATCTCTATCGATCAAACATTGCTAACTATGTTTACCAATGGGTGTAGTCTGTGGATGTTTCATTATTTCTATATTTACCCTATTTACCGCTCATGGATACCCGAAGAAAGTAAATAATATATCACTAAAAAATACAAAGAAATCTATGACAAAATTAGACAGAAAATTCGAAATGCAAAAAAATTAGTTTACAGGAGTGAAAAAAAACATGACCCTTTTAATTTGTATAGGAAAGTGAAGAAACTAACAGGAGAAACAAAAACTAAAGAAACTCCTTATTCGTTAGACGAGAATAATTCAATCGTAAGCGACGCCGAAGGAAAGATTTAACTGTGGAAAAACTATATTGAAAAACTTTTTGAAGACAAGGACGAAGGACATCCGAATTATTAGCAACCTCTATTAACAACCGAGAGAGCAGGCAGGATTCCGTTCACATTATGGTACCAATGATTACCTCCATACAGTAAAGACACTCGTTGAAAAATCTGTAGAATGCAACAAACCTTTTGTCCTCACTTCTCTCACAGATTTTCAGAAAGCGTTCGACACGATCGAAATAGACAGCCTTATAGAAGCAAAGGAAGGGGAAGGCCACAAATGCGACGGTCAGATGACCTGAAGAAACACGCCGGGTCAAAATGGATGCAAATTGCCCAAGATAGAGAGGCATGGAAGAAGGAGGAGGAGGCCTATATCCAAGGATGGATGTTTAGCGCTGTGTAGATAGATCAATAAAAATAAAACTTGGGATAAGGCAAGAAGATACATTGTCACCGAAATTATGTATAAGGGCATTAGAGTATGCTTTTAAGATGGTCAATTGGTCAATGTACGAGCAAAATTACAAATTGGAGGCCAAGAGCAGACAAACGTAGTAGTAGAAGACCACCTACACGTTGGGCTGAGGACATCAGCCATATCACTATTGGCACAAAAATTGGCAACTAAGAGCACCAAATCGTAAAGAATGGAAGAGTTTAAGGGAGGCCTATGTCCAGCAGTGGACGTGCTATATGAAGATTGAATAATGATCTACAATCAGAAAGCTGTACTAAAGAAAGAAAATGAAGTATTGATGAGATAGAAATTGAAAGGGGACGCCAGACAAGGATGTGTGCTGTCGCATATCCCGTTCAATTCGTATTTAAAAGCAATCATTAAGGAAGTAATGTAACAATCAATATTTGGTAAAAGAGTAAATGGAGGGCCCAACATACGGTTTGCAGATGATACAGTCCTAAGAGCAGAAAGTCTAGAGGAATTATGCAACAAATGATTGATAGAATAGTAAAAGTCAGCGAAGATGATGGACTATAAATATAAAAAAGGCAATTTATGGCAACCACAAATGGACAACAACCTCAAGGGAGTTTAAGTATGGCGAGAAAATAAAGAAAGTACAAAAAAAAATTAAGAAAAGGATAGAGAAGCGAAGGGAGAAGACGTATATCGTGGTTGAATAATTTGAGTGGGTGGTTTAGATGTGGCTCCATTGAACTATTTAGAGCTGCAACATCCAAGTTAGTATATTTCTGTAAGTAAAGCTAGCAGTTAAAATGGACCTTCAAACCATTATATGGTAAGATACAAAACGTTTTAATTTATACTTTTCCTACAGGAATGTTTGATTCCGACAAAAGTCTGGTTTTATCTTCCGTTGGAAGACAAAATTTCAATTTTATTTCAAACGAACACTATTGATTTGGTTTAAAATCGTCATTTAAAGTCTTAGCTTATACGATTAAATATGTATAGCCAAGTTGTTAAGAAAGTATCTAGATTTTTGGGACCAAAAATACAATTTTATAGAGACTAAAGTGTATGAGGTCAAATAAAAACCAAGGAGAAAGAGAAACTTACTTAAAACTAGAGTTATACTCTTGCTGCCTCATCGTTAGAGGTCTATTTTCTTGAGTCGGAGTATTCTGCGGTGTTCCGGGTCCGCTGTTTGGTTTCTTCTTTAGAGCCGATTTGAGAGGCATAGCGTGGAATTTTGGCTCTTTCGCGGGGATCTCGTCAATGCGGCTCGTGTCGATCGATGGGTCCGGTTGTGGCATTCTAAAATATTGATCGTCATCGTAGTCGACGTCGTCGTCTTCCTCTTCCTCGTCATTTTCTAAAACACATATAAAGTCAAAACAAATATAACTTCAATAATAACTTGTCAAAACAAGTATCAATATACACTCGATTAACAACGGAAGCTTAAGAAAATTAAAAGAAAATCCATAAAGAAAATTGATATAAACAGCTTAAAACAACCTATCGTTAAACTAAAAGTCACAGAAAAATTAAATGAGGCAATAGCGGATATCCCGGCAAGATCTAAACGACCGGCCACTATAGAAGACAAATGGAATTGTATTAAAAAAGCTGTCGTAATCACCACCAAGTCTCTGATCTCTTCCCAAAAGTAAAAAAGAAGAATTGGATGACTGACGAAATATTATCAATGATGGATGACCGCAGATCATTTAAAAACAAACACCAAACCAAACATCAGCAGATTAACCGACAAATACGAAAAAAATGTAGCAAAGTTAAACAACAGTGGCTGAGAGACAGGTATGCAGAAATGGAGGAATGGGAACAAAAACATGACCACTTTAACATATATAAACTCGTTAGGAAGTGACAGGTCATACAAAACCTTGCAGTTTTAACAGTATTGTGAAGGACAATAAATTAATTACTGATCCCAAGGATCTACTTCAACATTGAAGAAACTACACACAGCGACTATTTATACTCAGACAACACTAGAAGAAACTCTGAAAGTGAATATAAAAGTGAACCTTCCCCCAAAATATTGACGACTTATACATAGAGCTTCTAACAATGTTGAGTGAAGACAATATAGACGCCTTGGTAGGTCTTTTTGTAATGACATTTATGGGCCCAACAAATACCACAGGATTGGCTTCAATCAACCTTTATACCAATCCCAAAAAAAGTCAAACGCTAATAATTGCGACCAATTCCGAATGATCAGCTTATTGAGCCAGGTCCTAAAACTCTTCTTAAAGATAATTCACAAAAGAATATACAACAGATGTGAAAGAGAGATTAGCCCCACACAGTTCGGTTTCAGACAAGGATTTGGCACAAGAGAAGCACTTTATAGCTTAACTGTCCTACTTCAGAAATGCAGAGATCAGCAAAAAGATGTCTTCCTATGTCTTATAGATTATAAGAAAGCGTTTGATTGTGTTAATCATTCAGAATTAGTAAGATTTCTCCAGGAACGCTCGATAGATGAGAATTACCTTAAAATCATAAAGAACCTTTATATGAATCAAATGGCATCTGTGAGAGTAAGACTGGAATCTACATCAAATTTCCCAATCGAAAAAGGTGTACGACAGGGTTGTGTTCTGTCACCCCTCCTTTTTAATATTTACTCTGAAACGATTTTCGATAGAGCCTTAAGTGACACTGAAGATGGAATCAAAATCAACGGATAGACTATTAGTAATTTTCACTATGCTGATGATACAGTCATAATAGCTGATAGCCAAGAAGCGCTACGAGTAATAGATAGAATAAATCGAATGGGCAGAGAACGAGAATTGCTGCTAATAATAAAAAGTAGAAAAACTGCTTATCTGGGTTATATATTTCGAAGTTCCAAGTACCAGTTCTTAAAGCTTATTATGGAAGGGAAGATAGAAGGAAAACGGGGCATCGGAAGAAAGAAATACTCATGGCTTAAGAACATAAGGGATTGGAAAACCTCGATGCCCATGTACTGTTTAGAGCCACACAAGATCGAGAGGAGTATGCCAGACTTGTCGCCAACATTCATTACTTGGATAGGACACCATAAGAAGAAGACAACGTATGTAAAACAGTTATCTGTACTAAATAATTACTGTTTCGGATTCACATTATTACCTAATTATCTATTAATGAATATTTTAATTATGAATGAATTATCCCTAAGTGAATTAAACCTCTTTATGTAAAAAAAGCTTTAATTATAAAAAAATTATAGACAGCCTGGCTGCTGCAAGTGAGCGAAGAGTTCCATCCAGAATCCTCACTCGCTTTAGCTGAGGGCAGCAAACCAGCAGCCGATGCATAGGGCGAGTTCTAGTGGCTGCCTACCCTAGTGCGCGGCTACCGTAAGCCGTCGTTTTTTGGGTGACTGTCTGCACGAGGGCTCTTAAATGACCATTTGAAAATGCCTAGCGATAATCTCTAAGCTATATAAGTAGGAATACCAAGCATTAGAGACACTAAATAAAGAGGTAAAGAAATAGGTAAAGAAATAATAAATAAGACTTACTCACAATCAATTTAATTTAACTATCAGACGACCGGTTTCGCTTTCTACAATATGCAAAGCATCTTCAGGTCTCGATACAAAGTTAAATAAATGCTGAAATGATAAAAACCCATATTAGGGTGTTGTCTAATAAAGATAAACAAATTAGATGTTGTAAATTACAATAATTATGCCAATATTACATGTCTGTGGTTTTAATTTCAAAATGAGTAAGTTGAATAAAACGGTATAAAAAGTTTTAAAAGTTTAAACAGACAAGGTAAGACCCACAAATTGTTATAAAATAGTCTATTAGATTGTAATAAATTAATAAATGAGCAAATAAATAAACATTACTTACATGCCGGTACGGCATATAATTAATATTATATTCGTATAATAACTTTTAGTATAAATAGAATAAGTATAGAATAAGTATAATTAACTTTTAAATAATACAATGGTATATAACATCACTTTCATTTACCAAACAATCACACACATATCTCTGCTTCATTGGATCAAATCTATCTCCTCAAGAACTTCCCGTTTACTGTCAAACAACTACAATAGCAGAATTGAGTTCTCCATTCAACAATACATAGTAGTTTCAACCATGATCTACCATCCTTCAATTAATAGAGTACCGGCATGTAAGTAATGTTTATTTATTTGCTCATTTTTAATTTATTACAATCTAATAGACTATTTTATAAAAATTTGTGGGTCTTACCTTGTCTGTTTAAACTTTTAAAACTTTTAAAACCTTTTTATTCAACTTACTCATTTTGAAATTAAAACCACAGATATGTAATATTGGCATAATTATTGTAATTTACAACATCTAATTTGTTTATCTTTATTAGACAACACCCTAATATGGGTTTTTATCATTTCAGCATTTATTTAACTTTGTATCGAGACCTGAAGATGCTTTACATATTGCAGAAAGCGAAACCGGTCGTCTGATAGTTAAATTAAATTGATTGTGAGTAAGTCTTATTTATTATTTCTTTACCTATTTGAAATGGACTCACACAAGCAACACATTCATGATATAATTAATATTTGAAATTAATATTTTTGATAAAAATATTTATTATTTTTTATTATTCTTTCTACAGTTATTAAATAAATAATTATATATTTACGATTGTTTCTTTAACTTACCGTCGTAGTCATAATTGTGATGGTTGGGCGGTGGCGAGAGTCTATTGGGAATGGGACTGGGCGAACTAAACATCGGCGGAGGTGGGATCGGTCCGATTTCTGAAACGGGTATGGGCGGTTCGGGCAGCTCGGACAACATAAATCCTGGTACTCCGACCGGAATATGCGGAGGAGGGATGTTGTGGAGATGCTTCTCGTGGGGCGGAGGTGTGCTGCCTGGTGGAACAGATTGCCCGTCGGTGACTAAAAAATATTGAAATATTGAAAGAAGATCATATTGTTCACCGGAATTAATTCCGAATTTCGATATGACTTATTTTTTTTAAGTCATGTGTGAGTTAAAACTAGAGTTTTGTTCTAAAACGATGTTAATAGAAGTATTATAAATATAATACTTACAGTGTTCGCTATGATAACACAACAGCCTCCTGGTAAGCTTCCCATGTCCCAAAGTGCTCGGCCGTTCTGGCTTCGAACCGATATTTTCCATTCCAGGGGGTTGAGTGACATGTAAGGGCGTCTCTCCGTTCGGAGAAAGAGCGCCGTTGTGTGCCGCTCCATCAGTCTTTTCTTTTTTCGGCTCTGCAACAGTAAGAAAATAAAAATGAGTGTACCGTAAGAAAGTAAGAAAAATAACGCTATAAATAATGGAAAATTGAAATTGTTAAATGGATCGATATCCATTAAGGTTTCGAATTTGTTAGATGTGGAAATATATTTTCAATAAAAGCAATTGTTATGTGAAACAAGATACAATTTAAAACACCTTTATAATCATCGAGCAAAAGGACAAAAGAGGGAATGTAAAGGTAGTGGGGGCAAACATATTGTTAGACAGGAAGTGCGATTTTTAGAGGCCACATTAAACAAGGAAAGAGAGTCTCTCTCCTTGTTTGACATCAAATTTAGTTGGGTTATGTTATTGTTTGTCCCAAATGTCACATGAAATCTTATTTATATTGAAGTTTTTTAACAATTGTGTCGCATTTTAGACTATTATCGTTAATAATTAATTAAAACTTTGTCCTCTATGACACATTCTGAAAAATATTATATAGCTACTGTTGATAAGTGTCGGAATATTTAAATTTGGCGCATTTGCATTTCCGGATATGTCCGCCATCAGAGGCCACTTTTTTGGTCTCCTTTTCATAAGGATTAGATTCCCTCTTTTGTCTTTTTGCTCGATGTTTATAATACACATTACTATGGTTTCTTTTTTAACCAGGAGTAATTCAAATTTATCGCGCCGTAATGCTTGTTTGTAATTGGTCCAACCGCAGGCAAGTTTACTCCACTAAATTATGACATTTTGACACTAATGAAATTTATTAAATTTATGAAATTTTAAAATTCAAAATTTATATCGACGATTTTTTGTATTTTCTGCGTTATTCCTTTAATTTTTAGATTTTTCGTTTGCATTTATATAAAAAACAGTTCTTTTGAGAACTATTTAGCGACGTATTAGTGTTATTAAGATAACAATATGGATTCAATGCCAGGTACTAGTGGTAATTATCCTTCTCCATCCAAAAAACGACGAGTAGATTTGGATCATTTATCATCAAATACAAACAATGCATTATAAACATGTACAAACAAATAAAAATTGATAATCCTGGAATGAAAATAACAGCCACGGTAGCATAAATAAAACAGGAAACAGGTTAGTTTTGCAGAATAGTTCATCAGAGACATAGACTTATTAAAGTAATGAGCTAATTTTAGTTGTTTCGAATTCAACTTTGTTATTTCAGTTAATGCGCTGATGAAATATTCTAAAATTCCATTGGATTTTACATATAATTTTATTACGAATATATCGCTTTATTATACGTTCCGAACTATTTTCTTCTACAATGTGATAAATAAACTCAAAAAATTCTTCAACTTCTTGAATATTTCATTATTGTGATTAGAAAAACAAAAAAATATATATATTGGAAGTGAATTGGAAAAAATTATTATTCAAACATAAAGAAACAAAGTTAGGTTAGAATCGATTACTGGATTACCGCAAGGCCGAGATAATCAACCAAAAAAGAAGATGTATTTGGTGACTTTTCTAGTAACTTCCTTGGGTGTGAATCTGTCTTTTTACTTTACTCCTCCTGGTTAAAAAACAAATCATAGCTATATCAAATTGCTTTATGAGCTAACCAGTAGTAGGTATAATGTAGTAAGTGGCAGTGTAATGTTTATTTTAATTTATTTACAGTGTTCTTATACTAACAACACAATTAATTTATAATGTTTATTTACTTATCGCAGTCGACTATTTTCTAGACAGTCGAAAATCATCAAACGCCGACCTGATTTTCGATCATAGGCGTAGCAATTGTGGGTGTAACAGTATCATCTACATGTAATACTGTTAATCGGAACTGCATTCACTTTTATATTGATATTTTCGTTTTCAACCACCTCGCGCCTCAAGCGAATAACGCCAAGACGCAAGTCACCATCCCTTACCGTACTAACTCCACCCAATACACTGTTATATTCTAATTTAAGTCGCAGATCCAATATACTACTCCGTTAATATTGTGTTTTGCTGTCTATGATAACCATATGCAAGCATATCAAGAGAAGAATAGTTAACTTCCTGTGCCAACTTTAAAATATATCAGTGTTTCTATTGACAACGCGAAATTTTCAGATTTTGGGCGCGCATGAGTCGAACAATACAATAATTTATTCTGGTTGTGACGTTTATTGACTTTCGTGGTTTAAATTAAGGCACATATATAAACTTTTGCTTTTTTTTTTGTTTAAAAACATACATTACATAAAACTAATTTTCTACAAACTTAAGCAGAATTTCGTATTTGGCGATAACTATCATTGTTGCAGTTTCGCAACTTTATATAAATATTGTTAAAATATCAACATTCTTTTTGCTAGTTTTGTCTTCCCTCATATAGTTCGAGTAGCCGATATTTCGTTTACCAAAACTTAGGCAATATCGAACAATACACAATTGTTGATAGAATGTTACAAACAATAGACTGTGGATTGATACATTGTTGTGAACAATGAACCGTAGAAAAATTAGTGTCTTTTATTGAAATTGTAGATCGCTTAGGTAATTATATACATACACGCGTAACGTCAACTCGTAAAACAACGATTCTTTAAACAACCATGGTCTTCAGACCAGACTGGTTCCATCTGACAAACGAATGAGTCGTTTGTTTGAGCTACGGGGTAGCGCTGGCTGCCTAGCCGCCAATTTTGTTCCTGCCTGTCCAAGACATCGTTTTGCGCGCCTCCTAACGTCAGTAGCGGCTGCTACTAATTCCATGAGGTAAAGTAGAACATATATACACACTATTTGTTGACAAAATTACATTGGTAATATATATATCGAGTACTTCTAACATATTTGTTTTTTTTTATTGTTCAAAAGCTTTGTCGCTTCGTATAATAAATAATTATTCTCAACTTTACATAATTGTTATTCTATAACTTTGTCAAGCATATTTTAATTTTGTAGGTCTTAATGATGCTCATTTGCCTTAAATTCTGCTCCTTTTCTGGTCGCCTCAGTTTTTTTTTAATGGCATAGGCAAGGTGCCATACAGCCAGTCACAACATGAAAATATTCTACCCAGAAAAAAAAATTGAGTAGTACAATAGAAAAAGATAATATAAAATTCAAACTTAAGTATCCTTACAAATTTTAAGCATTAAAATTATTATTAAGGATAGGATAGGGATAAAACATGGACACTCGTTTCTCGTCTAGGGACCCATCAAGACATTGCTTTTAAGACAAACTAGATTAGATCACGGATAAAAGGTAATAACAAATGGGGTAAAACAGAGGTTAGGATTCTAATTACAGTTAAATATTGAGCTTACTTTCGCAAATAAATTCCATCAAACATTCATTTACAACTCTTATATTTAGAGATAGCAGATAGCACATACTGTACGGAGGAAAAATTTTGATGTTAACTAAATTTTTTATTAGATCTTCAGTTTGTTTTGTGTATTTTTTAAATTCGAAGAAAATGTGATTTAGATCCCCTTCTTTTTGACAGTCTGGACATAAATTTGAATTTACGATTTTTAGTTGGGACAGATGACTAGGATAGCAGGCGTGTCCAAATTTTATTCTAATTATGGATGTTATATACCTTCGTGGAACAGAATAATTTTTAAACTAATAATCACTTGGGACTGAAGGCTGTATAGAAGCATATTGCGAGGAAGAATGCGTACTATATATATATATATATATATATATATATATATATATATATATATATATATATATATATATATATACAGTCCTCTCTCTCTATAACGATATGCAAGGGACCGGGAATTTTGATCGTTATAAGGAGAGATCGTTATACAGAGAGAGACAAAATTCGGTACTGTAATATTAATAATACTGTACTAAATAAATTATTTTAATTTAAAGAATTATCAAAACAAATCTAAATGAATTAGCATTGTATTCCACATAGATTTATTAACGAATAATATAAGCAATACAGTATAAAAAATGACTGTACAATTAAAACATGTGTACTGTACAATAAAAAAAATAGAATGCACTCATATCGTCTTCCTGGTGGATGAAAAATCGATGCAGTACTTTTGCCGCATCCAATGCCTGCTGAGGGGTCGGAGCTGGTTCTGGCACTGCTTCCACTTCAGAGTCACTGTTTTCTTCTTCTTCTACACGAACTGCTTGCAGGATGTCCTCGTCAGAAAGTCCATATGTTGTAGCTACATTTTTATCAACTGCTTCTAAATCTATTAGCTCTTCCGGTCCGTAGGTGATAGTAAGTTCAAACTGTCTGGCCCAAACATTTAATGGCAGGTCATCTTCATCATAAGTCAATCCTTGATCTTCAAGCCAGCCTGCGTGTTTGAAGGAATGTTGTATTGTATTGCTCGTCACCTCGTCCCAGGATTTACTAATCATTAGGATGGCGTCAAGAATGTTTAGTTTAAGATCGCCATTATTCTCAACCAATTCCATCAAAAGTCTTGTCCTGTAATGGTTTTTCAAACTCTTGAGGACACTTTGGTCCATGGGCTGAAGGACACTCGTTGTGTTTGCTGGCAGAAAACAGAGTTCCATGTTTTGAAGGTCGCGCAATACAGGATGAGCAGGACAATTTTTTTACTCGAGCTTTTTTACTTTGTCTACAAGCAAAAGAATTTTTTTCCCTTTAAGCTCGATATTCCACTTTCTTATCGCTTCTTCAAAAATTTCCGAGGTCATCCACACACTCTTGTTTGCCTTATATGTCACCGGTAGATTTTTTATGTTTTTAAAGCAACGCTGGTTTTTCGACTTCCCTATCACTAACAATTTTCGCTTCACCGAACCTGTCATGTTACCGGCTACTTAAACTGTAATGTTCCTTAGAGAGCTTTCCACCAACGCACTTTTCCAATTTAAATTTTAAAGTTCTATTGGGTGTTTTCAGTGTTTCAGGCCACACGTTTTCTAGCCAATGATCCGTTACGTTTTTGTTAACATCGCGAGCCTCTCCGCTGATTTGCCCGTAGTTGATCTTGTGCCGCATCTTCCACTTGCTCAGCCAACCCTCAGA